AAAGTGGTAAAACCACCTTAGAGAGCAAAATGTAACATATGCTTATCACTCAACCCAGACTTCCACTTCTCAGAATCTGGCCTACAGAAATACTCACGTAAGAGGACGTTCTTTGCAGCATTGTTGCCGATGCAAAAATTGGTAACAACTTAAATATCCATCAGTAGAAGAAAGGTTAAGTAAATCGTTTGTCTGTTCTAACGGGAAAGATCTCTAGATCATACTGTTGAATGAAAAGACTATTTGTTCAACAATATGAAGAGTATGTTTCTGCTTATATGAAAAATAAAACACCTGAGTGTCTGTGTACCCATGTGAGTGTAAACCTAATGAAAAAGGCCTGGAGGATATACACCAAAATCTTGAGAGGGGATATTTCTGCAAATGGAGTGACATAACAGAAAGGACAGTGTGAGTGAAGTGGTCTTTTTTTTAACTTTATATAGTCACAAAATGTGGATTATTTGAATATGTATATATTTATATTATGTGGACAATTAAGAAAATTTTTAAAAGAATAAAAGTAATCCAAGTTTTTAAATTTTGTAACAATAACCGGTTCCTTCCCTTATTATCTCAGGGAAGATCAAAACATTTTCCAGACATGGATGGCACTAATTGACAGTGTTGATGAGATTAGGTATAAGCACTTCTCTCTATTTCAGTAATCCCACTAACATAATAGGGTTTTAGTTTTAGTCTACTGCTTCTACAAGAAACTGAACTCACTTCATCAGGTTCAACTAGACACTAAAGTGCCTCAGTAACTGCCCTCACTTTTTAGATGCACGTTAATCAAATGACTCCCTATCCTCACGGCCACCTATTAGTCCCTCAATCTTTTGGTCATTAATAAACGTATTCCTCTTGTGGCACAAGCTTCCTTTGAATCACATGACCAACAGAAGTGATAGTCTTCTATTTTTTCAGTGTGCAAAGTACGGAGTTAAAAACCAAATCCCGTGCCCAGGGCTTTCCACCATGCATTTGCTCTTCGATTTCAAGTTTGCTAACTTTCCTTTGTCCACTGTACAACTCTTCTTAGAAGGGAGCCAACTCCAGCCTGCTTTGCTTATTACTTCTCCCTAAATTACTGCCCCTGGCCTATGCATCTCAGTGATTTAAATCTTTTATATTAGTTTTCCTGGTGCAAAATCATAGTCTGAATGCCATCTATTTAAATATTTACAAGAGCTCCCCAAATACAACGTAAAGTTATATCTCTTTGTACTTTCATGTCCTTAAGACATATCTCCCTTTTATGGCATTCTGTCTACCTCTTGACCACCACCCTTTCATCTTTAAGACACTTCCCTTAATCCTCTTGAACTCATTTTCACTTCATTCATCTCTCAAGGAACAGAGTTTCTTTATCATAGGAAATACAACCTGTTTATATAGAGGAGGTGAAACTTGTTAATCAAACCCTTACACATTTCATTCCACCATCCAGAATCGGTGCTGTCCAACATGGTAGCCACTCGTCACAAGTAGCTATGTAAGTTAAATTTAAATTAAGTTAAATAAAATTAAATTTGAAATTCAGTTTCTCATTCTCACCAACCACATTTCAAGTGCTCAATAGTCAAATGTAGCTAATGTCTATGGTATTGGATAGCATAGCCATACATTTTCATCATTGCAGAAAGTTCTGTTAGACAGTGATAATCTAACTATTTCAACTGTAACAGTACCTCGACCCTGGGCAGAATTCAAAACTTTAATAGCAAGAAGAAATTGGATCTTGGAAAAGCAGAAAATGTATTAATTAATAATGAATGAAAGCAACAAATAAAGTCACTGTGTCTGGAAATAAGTAAACAAATTTCCAAAGAAAATAAATTTTCTACAAATCTTTACATTTCTATTTAACAATCCAGTAGTAATCTCTTCCTAAGCGTTACATACACTGGCTGGATAACATTTTTTGATTCTGGAATAATTTTCTATGGATTTTCAGAATTTTTTTTAAACAATATCTGTGAAGCTGCCAATCTGCTCCTTCTCATTTAGATATAAACAAGTTTGAAAAGCTTGGACAAACAAGAATGTGGGAACGTTTCCAACTACTTTAAAGGCCCCTGAATGGGAAGCTAATCTTATATCCCCCATAGGTGACAAGGGGGCTATCTTCCCACTTGCCAAGCATCTATTCATCTGCCAGCCTGCTTGGCTATCACTTCCCCATGACATCTGCCTGAAACCGCATCCTCCCTGCATACAACACCCCAGCGCTACTCTCTCCCTACTTTGCGAACTACGATCTCCTGTGCATACTTCATAACTGTGCACATCCCACTGCGTTCTAGTTACCTACATACATGTCTGTCCTCCCTGTGCAGCTGGGAGCTTCTTGGGGGCAGGAAAGCGACTGACTCATTTATATTCCCAGCACCTAACACTGTGCCTGGCACATAGAAAGTTCTCAAGAAATATTTATTGAACTGTGCTGAGCAAATTGGACTCAAAGTTGTAAGCCTGCTTTTCACCCTAACTCTGACTCTAAGTCTTGCAGTCAGGGGTATTAGAGGTATAATCAATGTAATCTACTTTGTTACTATCTACATTTAATTAACAGACAGTTGAATTAATCTGAAGTGTTAGCAGGAGCTATTCCCAGCTCTGATCCAGTTGGCTTTTGGTAGCCTACACGCGTTTGCTTTCTTGTCTATAGCAGTTTCCCAATTTCTTAGGAAAAAACAAGATTTCCTCTGGTCCCAAACAGACTAATTAATGAGATTGCCCAGTGAAATAAACAAAGTTGTTCAATCTGAGTTAATATTTTTCAAAATATACAAATAAATCATTGGATGATGAGATTTAGATTTGATGAGCCAAAAGACAATGAAAAGTATTGTCAATATTTAAAACAGATAAAAATTCAGTCTCCAAGAGTCTCCAGGAAAACGTCAATTGTGTTTTGTTCCTAGGAAACTTGACTTTATAAAATGGGCAAATACCCAAATTTCAACAAGGAAGCCCAAATACGTCATATATTCCTATATTGCTGAAAGATCAGTAGCTCATATGCATGTATTTTAAAACCAGAATTCTAACAATCTTGATTAAAAGACTGGCATTGGCACCAAAATTTAAGATATAATAACAGCATTAAATGCAAGCTGTGAAATTCAGGATAACGATTTCCTAGCCAGGAAATACACGTCTCTTTTTAGTGCTATAATGATATCAAAAAAGTCAGCTGGACTTTTTCTCCCTCCAGGATGGATTGGGAGCCTAATGGTTCTTTTTTGTTTTTCATCTCCCCTTTTAATATCAATGGAATACCACACTTTATAACATTTATTTTGAAAGACAGAATAAACATGATCTCTGCACTTGTTGAGGGATTTGTGGAATAATTTTGTCATTCTCTATTTAGCCAATACCCACGAGATTATATATAAACTTAGAATTTCCAAATGCTTACATGTGCATTATCACGTTTAATGCAAATTGTTCATATAAATGATTAGCTCAATTATTCAGGCAACATCTGCTCAGTTTACATACTATTCAAGACATTTCTCTCCATTCTTTTTTCCTTTCTGGCCTGAAATTTGATCATTTTCTTTCCTATTAGTCTTGTACTAGTGACAAAGGGGGAAAGAAGAAAAGGAGGGAAAATTCAGGCTGATCATATTTTAAAAATTTATAGAGTTCTTTTAGAAAACAAGTGGCTAAGAATATTAAAACTGCTAGTTAAATTAAGGCTCTAGTGGGTAGCGGCATTAATTTAAGTGATTTAAACTATTTCAAAGTTTGTGACTTATTCAAATATCCTTAATCTACAACTTCCAATTAATAACATAATTGTTTCACAATCATTATTTCTTTTATTTAGGCCTGTGTGCTAGGGAGTATTATTCCCATTTTTATAGGTGAGAAAACAGGAATATGGAGAGATGAAGTTGATCTGTCCAGGCAGAGGCCAAGATCAGAAACCAAGTCATTTGATGCCAAGTTGGGCATCCATATCCTGAAATCAGGGGCTCCCAAGCTTTGGCGCTAATCAGAACCTCGGTGGGCTCGTAAAACACAAATGGCTGGGGGGCCCACCAATGAAGTTTCTGATTTGGCCGGTCTGAGGTGGGGCCTCAGAATGTGCATTTCTCAAAAGGGTGGTGCTACCAGTGGTCTGAGGACCACAGTTTGAGAACCGCTGCTTTAAACCACAGCTGCCTCCCTTAGCTCTTTTTACATCCCACTAAACCGTTAACCACACTAGAGCAGGGAAAGTGTCCTAACTCCGTGTTGCCTCTCTCCATCCCTACCCGCCACTGCCAACTGGCCATCTCATGGTGCCTACAGCACCTCACACACACTGAATAAATGGTGCATGAATCGACTTCCTTTTTCTTGTGGTTATTAGGGAAACAACAGATCAGTGAAGTGAAATGCATTAAGTAACCTTTTTTATAGGGTCTCTTTAAGCTAAAATGTTTGATCCTTTTTCTCTTCTAAGCCACTGAAGTTATTAAGCGAAACAAAGAGGCACAGGACAGCAAGGAAAACTGTCCCCAAGCCCCTACCCTTCCCAGAAGCTCTTTATGCCCTCAGGGAATCTGAGTCACCCTGCCATGACTTAAGACCTCCAGGTGAGGGTCCTTTCCCCAAATGCACAGTATTGCCATTGGCATTAGTCAGTGCTTTCCCAGCTTTGTGAAGAGGGACTAATTTGCTCTTATTCCTTAGAAATAAATGACTGTCCTTATATCACCAGCCCCAAATAATTTCTTCAACTCCTCCTTCTTTTTCATTGCAAAATATGTCACTTTAAATGATCATTATCCCGTTAATTTTTTCAGACTATTTGGGAATATCGATACTATGCTCTTTGAGAAAAGTGGCCAGATTGTGATGCCCCAGATAGTTAATTAACTGGAGAACCAAGATCACGCAAACCATGGCATACTCTATTAGATGCGACTGGCGAAAATATAACCGCTGTAAGAAATGGATTACTGACATTTTGTTAATGTTGAACGTCACGGTCTTACCTATGCACACTAGATCCATAAAACCATACATTCCATAGCAGATTTGAAAAAGGATGTCCTTCCTCTGCCACACTGCATAGGGGCTGAAGGCGGACCAGAGGAGCCAGGTCACACTTGCTATTAAGAACAGGGATCCTAGGATTACAGCAATCATCTGAACTTTCTCAACCAGTGTAATAGAAATGCTTTGCCACTAAAAGAAAAACAGAGGCATGTAAGAAAAAGGTGCTCTGTATAATTGAAAAAAAAAAAAAACAAAACATTTTCAGCCCCATGTTTCTCTTCAAAATGTTAACCCCTTTTCAATCTGATCAGCCCCCAAATGAATTTTTCCATTTCATCCAGGCTATAAAAAATAGACAAGCAGATAAAGATTAATGAACGGCCTTAACTTCATTATTTTCAGTAATTCACCATTCTGCAAGTTTAATCTAGTTTTATTCCAGATAACAGTCCTGAGAGTGAATGGCTGAGGAATATTTAGCACCTGGGAATCACATTATTATCTTTCACACATGCATGAAATTAAATACACTCTGATGATACACGGTGAGGACTCCTCTATCTGGAAATTTATTTTGCTCTTAACACATTTGGCTATTGCAAAAAGGGGAATTGTTTCCTGTTTTTGTGGAAAAATGTAAAAAACAAATAAGTTACATAAGAACATCAGTGGACAAGTCATTTAACCTAACATGCTAGAATAATTATAAGGGAACTATAAAACGGTACATTATCTGTTATTGGTACATGTCATATACTCAGATATTACTGACTTTTAACTATCAGTGGGTAATCCACAGAGCCATTTTTGTCAAGATTTAGAATTTGTACACAAATGGAGTATCTTTGAACCTCACAAACTGTGTAAGCATACACTATTTAAGGGGGAGAGTAATTTGGTGTCCTACTTATCAATATTTGAGAGGATTTACAGCACAAATGATCGAAAATCTTTCAAGGGTGTTATCAACTTGAAAGAATTAATTAGTCATGTTCTCACTTTTGCATAATTGAGACAAACAAAACTAGAATTGCTATTATGGTTTGCCAGCAAACAATGAAACTCAAAACAAACTGCACAGTCTTATCCTGTGTGAAGGAGCTCTTACTGCTGCAACCTACGGCTTGCCAGCAGACTTCCTAAACAGTTTAAATAACCTTTAAAAACAAATGAGCTTTAACAATCAGCATCCATTGGGTGACTCTGATATTTCCTTAAACTCTTACTTACACTAAGCCTGAACACGTGCATTCCCAGACGGCGAGTCTGTCATGACCCATAACTTCCTTCTCTCCCTCATTGTCTGTTGTTCTTGTTTAGTTTTGATGCTCATTAAAATTTGCATTAAATAGAACAATATGGTAAGCAACATAAAAAACTACTACCAACTGATATCCATCCTAGATGGGTGCTATCATGTCTATATGCATTATGTTACCATTTATTAATTTATTACTCACATCAGACAGATGAAAACGAAGCATACTTTCAAATCCATGAGGCCAAGGTGTCCAGTTTGTGTGTGTGTGTGTTTGATTTTCACATGGTGGGCCACATGTTTCAAAATACATACGCCTGAATCACAGGAGTCTTGCGTAATCAAAGGTTAGGGCGGAGGATTCACCAAGAATGATGTTAACTGGTATCTATTTTCCTTTTGTCAGTGATCCTTTACATTCCAGATTCATTATATAATTTTAGTGGAGTTAAATTTGTACACCTCACTATTGTATAACTAATTATATTTATCTTCGATTAGGCCTACTAGTTAATTGATCCAAGACAGCCTGAATGCCAATTCAGTAACAATATGGTGGCCACAGGCACAAGGTGGTAGGCCCTTCTAAACACTTGGATTTGGGTGAACTGGTGGGGATAGTTTTACGTGGCTGTGGTGTCTCCTAGACACAGGAAATTGTGGTGGTTCTCTTCTCAGAGTCAACATGACTTCAAGGGCTGGGAGGCCATGCTCAGATGGCAGGCTTCTAACACATGAGGCTTAGCTGTTCCTTGGCAGGGAAAGTAAGTGAGTGAAGAGATAGACTTACTAGGAACAGGAAACACTGACGCTTCACACTTGTTTGGTGACACCAAATTTAAAATGTTTTAAAATTCAAATACCTGGCAGTTTGAAATTTAATGTGTTTAAAATTACGTCAGGAAGCTAGGAAAAAAAGAACTCTTGATTACAGTACACTGGGAAGCTTAATTATTTACAATTATCATAGAAATTATTTTTCCTTGTGGATATGAGAAGTAATTTGAGATTTCTGAAGCTTATTTTTAAAGAAGGATAAAGTATTCAAACTTTATAATGAAATTTTTGGTTTTATGTCACTCTGCTAATAATGCAAATATGCAAATGTGTCTAAAAGTGCATAGATGTTCTTCATATTCTGATGAACCTTAAAATTAGCACCATTTCACTGAATAGCTAATGAGGACAAACCATTGTTGAAACCAAGATTATTAAACCAATTTTGAACATAGAGATTTTTCCTTTTGACCACTGATACCATCTTGGTAATTTCTTTGCCCATTATACACTGCTCTTTCTTATTTTTATCATTATGTGCAAAAAGTAGGATTGCTCACACTCTTTCCCTAGGAAAAATAATGCTGCTTCCCGTAGCCAGGAAACACCCACCTAGCGTCCTTGCCCTGGAAGGCATACATTATCTAATGGGCTCAGCCTCAAGGAGTTGTGTTAATGGACCATTAGCTTAGAAAATAAAAATAGAAGATGAGTCTCTCCAGGCTTCTCTCTCTACCCCAATGGTATCCAAGGCCTGGATTTCAGTTTGTAAGATATTTCCAAATCTGGAACAAAATTTGTCAACTGCTGAACATACTTTTTTCCTCTAAAACTTGTATGTATGTATACATATTTTTTTTCATTTACATTTCTTCCCAAGCTTGGAAAGGGAAGTAATATAACAATAAACAGATTCACTCTAAATAATTGCTATTTTTTATTTCTTTCCATAATATTTGAGTATGTGTGACTCTTTTATATTCCTAAAAAGATGCTCACTTCCACACAAACTACTGGATCTGTTGTTTCTAGTAAAAGTGGGACCAACTGGCTCCTCTTTTGGAAGTTCATCCTCATTCAGTGCACTAGAAGAAGTAATTTAAAATTATAGCCTATATTTATATAGGGCCAATGGTGCCAGGCACTTTTCTAAGAGGTTATATGTATTAACTCACTTAATTCCCACAACTCTATGAGAGAGCTATTATTATTATCCCCATTTTACAGATAAGTAAACTGAGGCAGAGAGAGGTTAAACAATTTGCCCAAGGTTACACACCCAGTAAGGACTATAGCTGAGATATAAACCCAGCAGTCTGGCTCCTAGGTTCATGCTCTTAACCCTTATACTATACCATATAATAATTCTACTGAGCTCTGATAACAATTAGTTGCATATACTCAGTCTCTGCAATGCCACAGCAAGTCTCCTGATAAAAGCTTTGAATCTGTCTTCTCTGGTCTACTGAAATAGGTTTCCAGCTGGACTTCTAGTCATGAGTCATGCCCTGATCCTCTATGTAACTCCCAAGTCTACACTCCTAATGAAAGGAGAAGTGCCCCCACGAAGGAGGGCTCAATGTTGGCTCAACACATATTGCCAGTGCCTGGCACATAATTGTTGCAGGAAGGATGAAAGAAAGGGATGGAGGAATATTACAAGGAAGAAAAGGAAGGGGGAGGGAAGGAAGGAAGGAGGAGAGGAAAGAAGGGAGGAAGGGAAGAAGGAAGGAAGGGAGAGAGGGAGGAAGAGAGGAACGAAGAAAGGAAGGGAGTAAGAAAGAGAGAGAGAGAAAGAGAGAAAGGAGGGGGAAGGAGGGAGAGAGGTGTACGCTCCTCAGTTCCGTTTCACCTGACTTCTTTGTATTGTCCCAAATGCCTTGTACTTTTTACTTTGGTCCCTCTCTGCCTTTGAGCACATTCCTTCCTCAGCATGCAACGCCCTTCTCCCTTTTTCTCACATGATGAAATCTCTCCCCATCCATAACTGGCTCTCGTGCCAACTCTTCTAAAAAGCTGTCCCCTCGTGCCCCTCCTCTTTAAGCAGAATCCCTCTTTCTGGATCCCGCAATCCAGTGTTTATAATCCTGTTTAGTGTGGATTTCCACCTCACTTGGATCCCAGATCATTGTTTATCATGACACCTGTTGTCCACAGACCACAGATGTCATGAAGGCAGAAGCTGAGTCCCACCCCCCCTCGTATTCCCCAAACAGCTGAACACACCCAGTAAATGCTTGAATACATGGTCTCCTGACTCCAGTTTCCATCATCTATCCGACTGCCAGATTCACATCCTCACCATCCATTCTATCACTGCTTACAGGATAAAGTTCCAGCTCTGGCCAAACCACCAACACGCAGAAGTGAGAATTGAAACTCAGATCTGTTTCCAAAACCTGAGTTCTTTCTAAATTGTCCTTTCTCTGCCTACTATCCGCCTGCTCTCGCTCCTTCTCTCTGCCTACCTAAACTGACACATCCTAACAACCAAACGCAAAGACAAAATGGGCATAATTATACCTTTCTAAAGGAGGTTGTAGGGACGGAGAAGAGTCAACATAGGCAAAAAGCAGTCAGCACAGCAGACTGCCAACTAAATCTGACCTACAGCTTTCTAAATGGCATTCTCAAATACTTCTTGAGTCTGCAAGCTACAGTTTGTTAAATGAATATTAACATAAAGAAGATAATCTCAAGGAGTTATATCTCTTTAACTTTAATGAAATTTGGAAGGAATTAAACTCACATAGGAAATTATTTAATGTTCTCTTTATAAACAGCTGTTCAGAGATGCACCAAGTAAGGTCCACCAGTCCTAAAAAGATACAAACAATGTGCCCAAACAATGGCCCCAAATTGGGTGTCATCATGTGTGAGGGTCCATGTAAGTGTGGCACTCTTCATAGGAAATTAAGTACCCCAATAATTACCACACACTGCCCTGAAACCATGACAAAAATTGTTGCTGTTACCAACGAAATCTGATGAATTAATACAGGTTTATAATTGCCTTCAGAGAAGAAAGGATGAAAGAAAAAGTCAGGTATTTTCTTTAAAGAAATGATAGGAGCCCAAGCCAAAGTAAGACTGAGACTTTCCGTCTTGTATAAATAAATAAAGCCACTAAGATAAGAACTGGAGAAAGGTACAC